CACTTTCCATCTTATATATATCTTGTTTACCAACTCTAATCATATAATCTAACAAAAACATTTTCGTAAGACAGGAAACAGACAACAAATGAGCATTGATTCATAATGATCATTTTTGCAAAAAACATAAAAATATTTTTCTTTTGTTGAATGTCAAAATTCATTGTTATGGCTTTAGTATTTTAACTGTATTTTAACTTTGACATTTAGAGACAAAATAAGTACTATATATCTTGCTATTTTGTGTTAAATCTATGATATGATATGCATTATGCACTTTGTTTCTGATTGTTCCGTTTCCCTTTATTCCAGTAACAAAGTAATGACTAATGAAACTTTTCTGGAAGCAAGGAGACAATAACCGCTTGATGCACGACAAAATAATTTTATTCCCTAGGTTAATCACATTTCTCGTTTATATTCTATTATTTAGCCCATCTTACATTTTCAATATTTTGATTTTTAAATGATAAATTCGAACTGCTAACATAAATACAAAAACGACAGATGTAGCGACCACAAATACAATTGTAAGCACACCAACTACATGTTACTACACTACCATTCTATTTAAGTTTCTCGTTAGGACACATGCATAATTGTAAGCACCCACTACATGGTTACTACACTTCCTTCTATTTAGTTTCTCGTTTTAGGACACATGCATTTTTTACTTGGAACCATATGCCGCTTTTCATGGAATGGCACTTTACGTGCCCACATTGAAGGTTCCATGATAACCGCCATATGAATACGTTCTGCGGATGTTTCAAAAAATTCTAAGATTGTACCAGTTCATGTTAAAATGTTAAATTCTGCTTAAGCCCGGTTTGCTAGGGCCGTGGGCGGTAGTTTGCACTTGACAGTACCGTCCATGAAACCGAGCCTGCAACATTTTCAATTTTTGCCGGTGTTGGGTTTTCTTTAGGGATTCTTATTTTCTCTTTTTGCAATGTAATTCCCAATGTTTCGTAAAAAGGCACTGGTTCGTAATTCAAAGCACCTATAGAAATCTCATATACTCTACCTGAACATTATTCTTTCCCCAAATTGATTGCATTTAAATGTAAACTTTTCACCTTGGTGTGTTTATATCCCCAAGGGAACTAATTAATTTTTGAATTTAAAATACAGGAATTCCATGTACTGTGCCAAGCATTATAAGTTTAAAAAATCCCCAAAAACTTCTAAACCGTAGACTTAAATTCATTATTTATTACATTTTATACCAAAGAATTAAATTTATAAAAATGATTTATTTCTTAAAGACCGTTTTCCGGACTTTTCATGTAGACCATATAGGCCAAAAAATTAAAAACTTTCAATAGAATTTCCTTTAAACTAGGCATGTTTTTTAGAATATGAAAAACAAAAACATTTTTAACGGAAAAAAAAATTAGGGCAAACCGTTTCATTTTCGATATTTGCCCTTGAATTGGAATTTTTTGTTAAATTCCCCAAGGGCAGAATAAGTTTTACAATGAATCCCGAAAAAACACGTTTTTTTTCTTCTTATTTTTCATGAAGCTTATCTTCGTTTTTGTTCAATTTTGCCAAAAATTTCGAAAACAAATTAAGATTACCACTTCTCTCAACCTGTGCAGTTTTTTCCTTAAAAAATTGGCATATCTTTTATGAATTTACAAGTTACCTTTATTTTCATTGAAAAAATAACAGAAACGTATATATTAGTGAATTATATTTTATTATGAAATTGCATTCAACAATAAAAAGAAAAAATTATCCGGAAGTAAAAAAACAAGAAATTAATTTACGTATGTACAAGTTATCTGCCCATATTTTAAATCGACCTCAAATAAGTTAGAAAATTCTGATTCAGGGCATATTACTCAAAAACCGGTGATCCAAATTTTTTTCGCTAAAAATGTTCCTGTTATCATTTGATTCAAACAACATGCCAAGTTAAAAAAAATTCTAATATTAAGAACAGTTTTAATCGTGCCTACATTGTCTATATGAAAACTTCCGAAAACGTCCTTAACGAAAGTAAATTCTGGTTTTGCACTATCTTCATATTGCCAATGCATTAATAATTACATTCGGTCAATTTAATAAGAAAATAACTATCTTTGAGCTCACGATGGTAGTCACTTTTTCTCCAATGATAAAGCACTATACTCTCATCCGTTATATATTAAAGACTGTCTGTAAGTCTGTTTAAAAGCGATATGATGTAACAATATTCATATGACTTTGAAACAAATATAAATAAGTAATGAAACCTACTTCCCTATACAAAGTCCTTCTCAAATCAAGTTGATTTATTAGAAATGTAAGGAATAAAACGACATGCTGTTACTGGAAAGTAATGAAAATATGTTTTAATAAGCAAAAACTGCATATACTATTTTAAGTCAGTTATCCTATAACAATCTAGTTCCCCGTTATCAATATCATTGCAGAAATCTTTGCCAATAAATACCTTAAAAATAGACAAAAACAAAACTTAAACAGACAAATGTAGAGAATAGACGAATAACTCGGAAAAGATGAATCGAATAACTCGGAAATTAATAAAATTATGTACATGCATAATATAGTCAGTTTTTTATCCTAATTAAATATAACGATAAAAGGAGGACGCGATTTATGCTCAAGAATAAAAACAGGATCTATTTTCTTAAGATAAATATTTACCGTTACAAATACTGACTGAACAACTTACAGTGAAATGGTAGCCTCAGAAATTTGGCCTGTTTTTATCTTATTCAAATTTAAGTAACTTAACTTATTTCATATAAATCTTGTTCACACAATCTAACGATATTAATAAAACAAGACATTCCAACTATATTACATCATAGAAGTAATAGTACATCTTTAAACGACAACTATATCATCAAAGTAAAGCATTTTTTGTAGGTCAAACAACAGTTTTGCAACAACAATTTTCTACGTTATCCTTTAAAAATATTATAATACCATAGTTTATTGATACTTAGTTGTATACATAATTGATGAATGTTCTACCTTTTTGTAAGACTTTATGCTTCTTATGCATATAATTAAAAAAAATTTATAATGAGTTTTCTATCAACCCAATGTATAAATCATCTGCATATTAGAATATGTTTTTATTTACAAAAGCCATGTTCTAATTTCTATTGTTTCTTTTATTCTAAATTGTATTCACGCGTATTTCAATTATGCTTGATTGGGTTTTACGTCACACCGACACAGTATTAGGTCTTTGGCGGACGTTCCACTTTTACTGGGAGGAAAAAAACCTTCAGGTGCCCTTTCCTCATTTTTCAGGCAAGAACGGGCACCTGAGTTATAAACCACCGACGTTCCGTAAGCTAGCTGAGATAGCTCCGCAATGTAAACGTAGAATCGAAGCTGTCATCGTTAACTTTACTTACTTCGAAAGGAACTAATGGCTAGTGAAAAGAAAAATTTTTTTTTTACAAATCCATATATTTACCTTCAGCGTGCAACTTCTGATTTATGAACAAATAATGAACAGCACGCCACCTTATTCCTTTATGTCGCACAGTTAAAGTAATTTTAGTAAATATCGAAAAAACATGTTTATATAAGAAAATGAATGTTGTACCAATTGCAATAAAGCGCAACCAGTTATAATTTCTATGTTCTACTTTAACTATACGCCTACGCGTTTAACAGGCTTTTAAATATTTACTAGTTAACAAATGAGTATTGAGAAAAATGTTGTTTTTCGTTGTTTGTGTTTCTGTTTAGATCGGGCATACAAGAGCTTTTACGAAACACTGAAAAAAAAAAAGTTTTTTTAACATTAACGCCACCAGCATCCTCAGCACATGGTTTATTTTAAACAACTGAACTCAAAGTTGTTAAGCATGCCTATAAATATTATGCTTAAACATGTACAAACAATAATATTCAAGAATTATAACAAGAGCAATATTTTATGTCAATCAATCTTGAACAAAATAGGGCACCTTTTGTTTGATGCAAACAAAAAACATTGATACATGGCAAATGCACTTTATCGAAACATACTGAATCTTATTTATAAGTAGAGAAATATTTTTTTTTTACTATTCGAGGATAAACAGACTCATTGTTTTCTTTGGCTTATATTCCATTTTAATTGTTTCTTTTGGTATCATTATTTAATAATTTTTTTTTTAGAAAAATGTATATGTCTTTAAAAAAAATGTTTTGTTATATGTTGTTGGATGGATAAGAATCTATTAAATGTTTTTTAAACATCTTTTTACCTTTATTAAAAAAAATTATTGTAAGATCTTTTTTTTTTGACAATGGAATAAGTTAACAAGTTGTAATATTTATTGTATATACATTTTAAATTTAAAAAAATATTATGCACTTTTTATTCAAAAATCCAAATATGTGTCATCATTCAATTGCATTATGCAAATAATGGTCTTTTCCAGAAAGTATAATGCTTTTCTAGGAGCAGGCAATCATTTTTTAACAAAACCACCAGACGATAAATCGTGTTGTTTATTCTGAGTTTGACAGAGCTTTATCAAACAGACGACATTTTCATGAAATCGGGTTGTTCTTTATTCTGATTCTTCTAGACAAAGTTCTTATTTGAAAAAAAAAATTTAAGAAAGGGCCCAAAGAAGAACCCCTTTTTATTTGTTAAATAGATTATTGTGATGTTTAAATGTCAAGGGTTTGATGATTATGCCCAATGAGAAAAAATTTTGGCAGCTTTTTGTGCGCCTTTTAAAAATTGGGAAAAGCTTTAATCATTTAACTATTGGACGGGAAAACCCAAACCCTTGAGGGTTTTATACTCTTTAAATTTGTGAAAAAAAATGGGAAAAAAAATTTATGGAACATAATTTTATAAGTATGTCCAGTGACGTATATGAACAATTCAAGAAAACTGAACATCAGCTTATGTCGAGTATGTAGAATCAACAGACATAACAAAGGCAAATTAAGAACACAAACTGAGACAAGATAATATACAAATGTATACTTGTTACTAGTGTATAATAAAAAAGTATAAAATATAATAATAAATAAAAATGAATAATAATATAGACTTGAATATGATATTTCTCTGCCATTTTTTAAGTTCTACTTCAGCCGATGCAGGGGGTGTGGACGGTAACCATCCACGAACAGACTCAATCAAACCGAGCCTGCAACATTTTCAATTTTGTCGTTTTAGGCGTTATTCCGTTTTCCTTATTTGAATACAATCTTATTTTAAATTTGCGATCATTAAATATAGCTTTTAACCTTATATTTTCTTATTTTAATCAAAAGAAATATCGTAGTACTAGAAGTAAATATTTATTTTGAGAAGCATCCATCAGTTTTTCTCTTCAAAATCTCTCCAAAAGAGCAAGGTGTAATCTTTGTTTCCGGAAGGATGAAAAGATAATGGAAAAACGTACATACACATTGATTTTAATATCTTCCTGACAGAAATTATTATAAATTATGACTTTCATCGGAAACTTATATTACAGATGTATCTACGTGCTTTTATTTTGCATAAATTTCACATAAAGTTGTCTGCTATGTTTTGCATATGTAAAATCTTTCTGAAGTGAGATGACTGCATCTGGTCATATAATCGGTCACTTTCGTCTGAATAATTATAAGTGTATGCATTACAATTTTTTTTACAAATTTTCCCGAAATTATCTAATGCAAAACTATTGTACGTAATTATTTTGTATAATATTTTTGCATTAAATTTCGAATATCATGTTTTATTTTTCTATAGTAGATTGATTACATGCAGTGACTTAAAAAAGGAAAAATCATTTCTTTTTCCTAACATGACACTATAAACGCTGGTTCCTTCTTTGGCATATCGTAAGAAACGACTGATACCAGATGCTCGCAAGTTTAGTTTCTCTTTCTTTGTAGAAAAAGGAAAATGCAAATTGGTTGTTTTCAGCCGCTAGAATGCAAACTTAACAATATAAAATGATTTTTCACCTTTCCTATAATGCATTGGTGTAAGTTTTACGACAGTTTATAAATGTATAGAAAGTTGGCATATTTTGCTTTTACACTGCGACAGCTGTAATATAGCTTCTTTGTTTCACCACACCAACCTACAGTATAGGGATCATTCAGATTCTCCAACACAACTTTTCCTGTAGAAGAATCTTCTGATATCTCTTCTATAACATTTCTCCCATTATCACACACAAAGACAGAACCATCATCTGACAGTGATATTCCTCTAGGCGTACACATACCACTATAACTACCAATCACATCACCTTGCCAGTTAAATCTTGTTACTGTCTTCATCTCCCGGTCAGATAAATAGATTGAACTTCTGTTACATGTTACATAATAGGGACTTTTGAAAATATTTTTTCCATCAATTGTTGTCAGTATAGTGCCATTCATATCAATGATCTGAAGTTTTGCAGGGGTAACGAATGACACAACATGTTTACCTTGGTAACAGCTTATACCAACACAGACTCCATCAACCTTCACATTGTGCTTCTTTATAAGTTTGTTTGATGAGAATGATATAAACTGAATTTTTTTTGTGTTAGGGAGTGTGACAGCAAGTTCAGTACTGGTAACTCTTGTGATATCCCATGGGTGATCATCCAGCTGTAGTTGATCAGACACAGATTGACTGCTGGTATCCACCATCTTTACAGCATAGTTATCGTAGTCAGTGATGATAAGAAGATCAGGAGTCAGCAGAGTCATTCCTGTTATATAGCATCTTGATTTATCTTTTGATGTCTTCACACAGATTTCTCCCTCATGTGAAGATTGTCTATACTTTATTTGTGTCAATGTACCTAATGACCTCTCTGTTTTAAGCTTGGTTAATATTGTTTCATTTGCTTGAAAGTGGTGCTCTTTGACATCATATGATGAAAACTGTAGTGCAGTTTTCTCAACATCTTTCATTATGTTTTCTGCAAGCTTAAGCTCCATAAAGAGTGCATTAGCTTGTTTTGATGTGTTGAGCTGTTTGATTTTTTCTGAGGATATCTTCAAGGAATTGGTAACTTCTTCACACGATGTTTCTACTGCTGTAATATTTGAGTTATTTTCTTGTTCTGCGACCTTGACTACATGCACAACCTGTCTCTCCAGTTCATCAAGTCTCTGGTTTATTTCTATCCGAAACTTTTTAATATCTTCTAGTGCATCTTTTAGTGATCTGTTAGATTTCCCCGTCATTTCTTTGACATCTTCTACCATCTGTTGATAATAATCAAAAGTGGTATTAAGTGTTTTCAAGATAATTTGATATTCTTTGCTGTCAATTATATTACAAGAAATACCAGGTATATAATCAACTTTGCAGGAAGTAGGTTGGTGTTCAAGGGTAACACAAACACTGCAAAGTAATTTTTTATGGTCATTGCAGTAGAACTTGATCATTTCTTGTTGATGTTTACAACAGGGTGTTGTAAGATTATCAGACTGGCTTGTGTGTATGGATGTTGAGGGTTGCTGCAAAACTTTAGGCATACTTGTAGCATCTAGAACTGTATGGTGTTTGGAAGATTTAAGTTTTTTGTGGACTGTTAAGCATGTCTTGCAAAGGTGTTCCTTGCAGTCAGTGCAGTAACCATGGGCAGGTAGTCTAGTTCCTTCCTCATCACAAGGCTGGCAGTACACTTGAAGATCTTCATCTGATGCCATGGATGTTGTTGATAATGAAAACTGTTGATAATGAAAACTGTTTTGTTCCTTTCTTTCCTGGGACTGCCATGTTTTACCTAAAATTAAGTATAAACAAGTTGAATATTTATTGTTCACGTGTCCATTTGTTTCTCTTTACCATAGCATGTCACTCTGATAGTACAATATAAAGAAAGAAACAGACTGTAAATGCAAACATTTATGCTAGCCTGTGATATTTTTACTGAGTTGGGATATACATCACATAAGCAACATTAATGTCTTATGACAGATTTCTAGTTTTACTGGTCAAGGAAGACATAAACAGTTCCTCTATGCAGTGTTTTAGAAATGAGTTGGCAATACAAGAGTGAAAGAACCAATCTTATATTCTACTCTATTATCAAAATTAATGGGTTAATTATTCACACCGAGAATTCGACCTTTCTCAAGAGAGAAATTCAAATAGGTCCTTGAAAAACATTTATTTATAGTCAAATTATTATTACAAAATTCATGATAGGGTTGTATACTGTCAGGTAAAGGTCACAATTAAATATTAACATTTTAGAATATTGAAAAAAAAAATTATTTTCACTAAAAAGGGGCTTAATTTTATCGAATTCCATAATAATAGTTATGAAATGTTGTTTGAAAGTTTGGTGATGGTCATACTGAAACAGTTTGGTTGGGTAAAAAAAAAAACATAGCAGAAATTCCAAATTGAAAAATGGATATCATATTCTCAAAGTCCAGATAGATATTTTTTTGCAAAATTAAGGGTGAAAAGCTGGGGTGGGTGGGGGAAAGTGTGGTATTGATGATTCTTACATTAAATGTATTTAAAGTTTCATGAATATAGTTAAAATGATTATCAGCTCAAAAATTAATAAAAGATTTGACTCCAAAAACAAGGTGAGAAACATTACTCTCACCTAGTATCAGGATTTCATATAAACATAAAAACTAAAGTCAAGCTCTTGTTTATAAATCACATGATGGCAGCCAATATTTTGTGCCATTCCATTATTATTATCTAATATCAGCTTATAGTAGTTCCTTAGATTTAATAAGTTGCAACTGTACTGTCCAAACTTGCTCACACAACTAAACAGAGACAAACCCTATGTTAACAAAATAAAAACATATAAACCGAAGCAATTTGTGTATTTGAAGTCTGATTATTTTAGTTTTAAAATAAAAAAGTTAAAAATGCTTTACCTGAATAAAATGTTTCCGTAAAATTTTTCACTTGTTGAAAATTGTCTTCTCCTATATTTGTTACAATGTCCTCTATATTTGTAAATATTTGGCTGTCGCTATATATCATTCAACGAATCCTGGCAGGTTTCATGAAATTTGATATCAGTATTACTTCCTTGTTAAGACAGTAATAAAACTTTATTTAAAGTCGGTTATGGTATACATGTGTAATGTGATTATGTTTTCTCACGCTGATATATTATCTGCTCATCTGTGTAGACCAAGATTAGCCGACATACATGTGTCATCTACATAATTCAACTAATAATAACTAATTTATCAATGTCCCTAAAATCGATGAATGGTAATGTCTAGATTGAAAGATGGGAAAGTCCATTCAAGATATTTAGTGGGGTAAGAGTAATATACAGATAATACAGGTAGTTTTAGTTTAAAGATTTTTAAACCTTATTGTTGTAATTTATTTTTAACTGATATAATATACAGTAGCTTTCAAACAGGAATTTTATAAACTTTAAAATGTACTTTCCTTTTAAATTTAACCGACTTTAAACTATTAAAAAACATATGTGTATTCAATGTTTGTTTGCATTTGAAATCTGAATTTCAATAGTATTCATTCCGAGGTTGTGAACTATTTTTACAACATTTTGTGATTAAACATGTACAATTTAATACGGAAGTACGGAAGCGTCCTGGTGCCAATTCATAATGTTCTATAAAAAAATAAACTCCTACGTAGGAGATAAATAAAGTCTAATTAGGAGTTTGTAACTCCTACGTAGGACTTTATAACTCCTACATAAGAGATAAAAAAAGCCTAATTAGGAGTTTATAACTCCTACGTAGGACTTATAAACTCCTACGTAGGACTTTATAAGTCCTACGTAGGACTTTGTAACTCCTACGTAGGACTTTAAATCTCCTATGTAGGAGATAAAAAACCTAATAAGGAGTTTATACTCCTACGTAGGACTTTTAAACTCCTACGTAGGACTTTTTAACTCCTACGTAGGACTTTTAAACTCCTACGTAGGACTTTTAAACTAATACGTAAGACTTTTTAACTCCTACGTAGGACTTTTAAACTCCTACATAGGACTTTATAACTCCTATGTAGGACTTTATAACTCCTATGTAGGACTTTATAACTCCTACGTAGGACTTTGTAACTACTACGTAGGATTTTATAACTCCTACGTATGAGATAAAAAAAAGCCTAATTAGGACTATATAACACCTACGTAGAACTTTTAAACTCCTACGTAGGACTTTATAACTCCTACGTAGGACTTTATAAGTCCTACGTAGGCCTTTGTTACTCCTATGTAGGACTTTATAACTCCTACGTAGGAGATAAAAATGCCTAATTAGGACTTTATAACTCCTACGTAGGACTTTATAACTTTATACATATCACAGTACTGAAAGCACAGAGTTCGACGGACATGTATGCTAAAGTATAACTTACGGAAGCGTCCTGGTGCCAATTCATAATGTTTTATAAAAATAACTCCTACGTAGGAGATAAATAAGTCTAATTAGGAGTTTGTAACTCACTTATAAAGTCCAACGTAGGTTTTTATAAGTCCTACGTAGGAGTTTATCAGTCCTACGTAGGAGTTTATAAGTCCTACGTAGGACTTTATAATTACTACGTAGGAGATTAATAAGCCTAATTAGGAGTTTGTAACTCCTACGAAGGAGTTTATAAGTCCTACAAAGGAGTTTATAAGTCCTTCGTATGACTTTATAACTCCTACGTAGGAGAAAAAAAAGCCTAATTAGGACTTTATAACTCCTACGTAGGACTTTTTAACTCCTACATAGGACTTTATAACTCCAACGTAGGAGATAAAAAAATCATAATTAGGAGTTTGTATCTCCTACGTAGGACTTTATGACTTTATAAGAAATGCATACAGAATGCTTTGCAAAATCTCACAATTCCGGACCGATATATCGACGATGGAACCAGGCACTTAAACCCCGCCCCCGCCCGGGCCGAAATTTCAAATTTAAAATATATAGGACATTTCACCTTTGGTTTAAACAGAATTTTTTTAAGTTTTATTGTGTAGGAAGCTATTAGCTTATAGACACACTTTTGAATTCGTTCTTGAAACCAACCAGTACGTACTGAGCAATGAGTGTAAAGTTTCTTGCTCAAGGAAACAACGGCTTGCGCCTAACGGGGTTTGAACCCATGCGGCTAGCGATCATTAGGTTACTAGGCACACGGCCATACCGCCACACTTCACCTTTTAATAAAGTGTCTCAGGTTTCTAGAGTGTACAGTGTTTTAGGGTGAGGTGTCTGTAAGCATTGGCGATGTATCCCGAAAAATATCTTTACAGCTATTCGAAAAATTTACTCGACAACAAGCATTTCTAAAATATGAATATATCAAAATTTTAAAAGGCTTCAGCAATTACTTTTTCCATACAAACAAGCTGAACAAAACGAGCAATTTATCCATTTTCGGCCGTTTCAAATATGATTAAATCCTTATAGGAGGCAGGGGGAGTATTGAAGTGTCTTGTTCCTGCCGCGTAAGTTTAAGAACAGAACGGTTTACGAAGCATTATGCATGCATATGTTTAATAATGAATTATATCCTACTTTGAACAAAGTTTAACCCATACATTTTGTGTACATGTGTATAATCAGTATAACTAAACGTACATAATACAGAATCATCGTTTAATATATGCAGAGAATGACCAAATCATCTCTGGCTACAGACTAAGGGTATTTACTAAAGCGGCTTGCCACAATTACAACTTGACACATATAATTTATTTTCCTACATAATATGCTACCTTAAGTTATACTCTAAGATACATGTCCGTCGAACTCTGTGCTTTGATATGTATCCTACGTTACAAAGTTACAAAGTCCTACGTAGGAGTTTAAAAGTCCTACTTAGGAGCGTAGGAGTTATAAAGTCCTAATTAGGTTTTTTTATCTCCTACGTAGGAGTAATAAAGTCCTACGTAGGAGTTTAAAAGTCCTACGTAGGAGTTATAAACTCCTAATTAGGCTTTTTTATCTCCTACATAAGAGTTATAAAGTCCTACGTAGGAGTTATAAAGTCCTACGTAGAAGTTATAAAATCCTACGAAGGAGTTATAAAGTCCTACGTAGGAGTTATTAACTCCTTGTTAGACTTTTTTTATCTCCTACGTAGGAATTTATTTTTCATAGAACATTTAACAAATAAAACATGGGCTTGAGGGCAATATGCAAGTTTACGGACTGGTTGGTCAGACTGAGGAAGGTATATGACCCAAAGCGAATCACGCTCTTCTTTTAATATTCCATTTGTGTTAATCAAATTAAATATTTAATGTTACTAGGCAAAAACCCGGACTTATTTAGAATTTCACAATTTGTATAAAAAAAAATATAATTAAATAAAAGACAAATCTAAAGAAGCGTCCTTGTGCCAATTTAACATGTTCTATAAAAAAGATAACTCCTACGTAGGACTTTGCAACTCCTACGTAGGAGATAAAAAAAGCCTAATTAGGAGTTTATAAATCCTACGTAGGAGTTTGTAAGTCCTACGTAGGACTTTATTAGTCCTACGTAAGACTTTATAACTCCTACGTAGGAGATAAAAAACCTAATTACTAGTTTTAAAATCCTACGTAGGAGTTTAAATGTCCTACATAGGACTTTATAACTCCTACGTAGGACTTTATAAGTGTTCATAAGTGTTCACTTATAAAGTCCTACGTAGGAGTTATAAACTCCTAATTAGGCTTTTTTAACTCCTTCGTACGGGTTATAAAGTCCTACGTAGGACTAATAA